CCTTTGTTCAACCTGAAATGACTCATGTAAGCATCCATAACATTATGGAACACATTAATTGACTGAAAAATGTTGCATAGTGTCCCTTTAACATCTAACGATGTTTAGGAACAAACGCTTCCATTCATTTTCTCACTCTGACCTGGAGCACCAAGCATTGTGGTGAATCTTTCCTCCTTTATGTCTGTAGGTATTGAAAAGCAGTATGAATGTGCTAACTTTGGAGAGCAGGGCATCACTGTGGGCTGCTGGGATACCTACAGACACGACATCGACTGTCAGTGGGTCGACATCACTGACGTCAAACCCGGAGATTACATCTTCCAGGTCATCTCCGTTTCTCCTTCCCCATCGCTGATGCGACCTGTTCTTTTGTTTTCGGCTCATGCATGTCTGTCCTTTCACAGATTGTTATAAACCCCAATAACGAGGTGCCAGAATCCGACTACACCAACAACATCACCAAGTGCCGCTGTCGGTACGACGGTCATCGCGTCTGGATGTACGGCTGCCATAATGGTGAGACGGCTGGATGCCTCTTTAAAAAGGAAACCAGTGGAGTTTAGACAGAAGTAAACGCTCGCAGAAGATGTCGATTCATTTCACTGGAAAAATTCCAAATCTAGATAAGTCATTTTTTCTTAAAATAAGTGCATTTGTTCTTGGATTGAGGAGATGAACGAGACATTTTAGATTTAAAATAAGAAAACGCAATTGCATTATCTTATTTCAAGTGCATTTCATCTAATTATCTTATTTTAAGACTAAAAACACTCATTTCATTGGCAAACTACTCAAATTAAGGGTAAAAACACTTAATATAAGATTTTTTTACTTCTTTTTAGATCGTTTTTACAGTGTTGAACTGCAGCTTTTCTTTCCAGCTCAGTTTAAACAGATTCAAATAAAACTCAGGCAGGTTTTATTGATTATTTGGATATTTTAGAGCTTTTTATATCTTATTTTGGGTTTAGTGATTAATGTGTGGTGAACAATAATGAACAAAAGGGCTTTATTTACTAACAGTTATTTTACAAACAGAAAGCCTGAAATTTAGCACATTTCCTAAAGCTCAGCTGGTTTTATATCAACATTAGTCACTTTGATCTTTAGTTTTAATAAACTAACTTCATTCAGCAATCGATATATTCTCATTTTGTTATAAAATCAATTGTTTTTCATGTTGCTCTTCCTGCAGACGGATCACTGAGCTCTGAAACAGAGACGACGTTCCCAGGCCTCATAAATAACCAGGTGACCCACAGGTAAAAGTAAAGGAGTGGAGTCCAGAAGCAATCCCCTCCAAAGCGAAGAGTCCTACCGACCCCTATCCTCTCCATCTGTGCTGGATTGGTCTTCCTGTCCCCTGAATGGATCCTCTAATCCGTATCTTTCCTGCTATCCTCTTGATTACCTCGTTAGTTCCAGCTGATGCAGCAGGAACTTTCTGAACTCTTCCAAACTCCCTGTGATGCTCAAAGGAAGGCCGATCTGCATGCAGGTCTGTGACTGCAGGACGTTTACATTCATTGGGACCTCCAGCTATTTGAAGGAACTCCGGTAAAAATTAGAGGTGTAGCACTTTAAGCCCAAACTGTAGAGCCGTTTTGGTTTGTTTATCCTGCAGAAGAAAAAAACAGAACCAGGTTTCAGAGAAGAAGAAGTGATGTCATTACCCGATCCGTACCGGTGTCAGACCAGCATACCCGTTCATCCCTTTAGTTTATTCCTTTACTTTTGTATAAAAATAGACGTTAAACTACCCTAATGGGAGTGTATTCCTTTAGATTTGTACAAAAAAACTATTTAATTACTTATTTTTTGGTGTTTTTTTGTAGCATATGGTGATCTGAACTTCAATTGTCTTTTTTTTACATGACTAAAGGGATACGCACCCGTTGAGGTAGTTTAAAG